GTGCCCACCTTCAGGCCGCACGAGAGGGGGAGTTTCGTCTGCAATTTTAGTCGAGCTTGACAGAGTAAGCACATGAAAAAAGATTGATGAATCGAGCCTCGAGCGGACCAAATGACCAGTGGTGAAACTGGAGCATGTCAACTCCTCATGCAAGAACAAAAGAATTTAAAGAAAAGTTTGGAAGGTTTTCAGTAATTCGGATGCTGGGAGTCGAACCCAAACCTCTCGCATCAACTTATTCAGCGCGTTCTGATGAATCGCGGGTGTGCGCCGCGCACCACGTCCGAGCTGCTTGCCTGGAATTGTCACCCTACTTGTGGGCTTGTCCCGCACCGGGGTGGCCAAACTAGATCCCAGATTCGTCTGCAAATCGGGTTGATCGTGCCAGAGTACTACCCGTGTAGTTAGGAATCGTTCGAATGTAATCTCTTTCGCGTTGGAAGGAGAAGTAACAGCACCTAAAAATGTCAGGTCCCCTGACGAGGGAAAAATCAATGTGCAGCACCTGCAGTTCGGACCCTGGGAGTCGAACCCAGTCCTCCCGCATCAAACGTCAGACTCTCGCTTAGAATGAACGCGGGTGTGCGCCTGCACCACGTCCGAGGTATCTGGCTTCAATTTTCGCTCTACTTGTGGGCTTGTCCCGCACCGGGGTGGCCAAATACTGCAAATCGGGTGGTGAGTGTGATGGAGTACGAAGCGTGTAGTTAGAAATCGTTCGAATGGCATTTCTTTCGGGTTGGAAGGAAATCTACGAGCGACCAAAACACGTCAACTCCTGAGGCAATGCCGCAAGGGGAAAAAAAGCCCTTGCAAGTCGCTCTCAGTTCGGACGCTGGGAATCGAACCCAATTAATCCTCCCACATCAAATATTTCGACTATCTCAACAGTGAACGCGGGTGTGCGCCGTGCACCACGTCCGAGGTATCTGCCTTCAATTGTCGCCCTACTTGTGGGCTTGCCCCGCACTAGGGTGGCCAAATGAGACCACATGTTCGTCTGCAAATCTGGTTGATCCTGACAGAGTACGAAGCGTGTAGTTAGGAATCGTTCGAATGGAAGGTCTATCGGCGTCGAAAGGAGAGGTAACTAACAGCGCCTAAAAATGTCCGGTCGTCTGACGAGGGAAAAATCATTGAAGGACCACTCAGTTTCATCCCGCAGCAAATGGTGCCATGAATCGCAAGGGTGCGGCGTGCACCACGTCCGAGGTGTCTACCTTGAATTGTCGCCCTCCTTGCGGGCTGGTCCCGCACCGGGGTCGCCAAATTGAACCACAGGTTCGTCTGCAATTTGGGTTGAACTTGACAGACACGAAGCCCAGACCAATCGTTCGAATGGAATTCCTTTCGCGTTGGAAGGAGATCTACAAGCCCAACAAATGTCAGCTCCTGATGCAAGGAAGAAAAAAGTCATTGGGAGTCCCTCCTTAGTTCGGACGCTGGGAGTCGAACCCAGTCCTCCCACATATTTCGCTTCGACCCGTGGAATAAATTGCGAGGGTGCATCGCGCACCACGTCCGAGGTACCTGCCTGGAAGTGTGGGCCTCTTTGTGGGCTTGTCCCGCACCGGCGGTCAAATGAAATCACGGGAGTATACATGCCCACCTGCAGGCCGCACGAGAGGGAGAGTTTCGCCAGCAATTTGGGTTGAACTTGAGACACTAGAGTTGAAATCACGCGAGCTGTTCGAGCGACTGATAAAATTTCACCTCCTGATGCAAGGGGAGAAAAAAATTCTTCGGAACTTGCCTCAGTTCGGACGCCGGAGTCGAACCCAGACCTCCCGCGATATATATCGCTGTTAGAGAAACCGTGTAAGATTCGCGGGTGTGCGCCGCGCACCACGTCCGAAGTACCTGTTTCGAAATGTGGGTCGATATTTGTAGATCTGGACTTGTGGGAGTATGAGCACCTCCAGGCTCGACAGTCGAAGGTCGGGGATAAGTGCCGATTGAAAAAGATCGAATTGACCTTCGAGTGCAATGGCTGGTTAAGACGGTCTCAGCTCCTCCTGCAAAAAAAGTAAAAAAAATAACTTACTCCAAGTGCAGTTCGGACGCTGGGAATCGAACCCAGCCCCCCCGCATCAAATGTTTTCGAGGATCCCGATAATGAACGCGGGTGTGCGCCGAGCACTACGTCCGAGGTACCTGCTTAAAAGCGCGAGCCTAAAGTACCTATACAAAATCACGGAGTACAGATGCCCACCTGCAGGCCGCACCGGAGGAGAGTTTCGTCTGTAACTTTAGTCGAGCTTGAGACACCAGAGTTAAAATCACGCGGACTGAACTCCGAGCGACTGATAAAAGAAATTTCAGCTCCTGATGCAAGGGGAGAAAAAAAAGTCCTTGTAAGTGGCCTCAGTTCGGACGCTGGGAGTCGAACCCAGCCTCCCGCATCAAATGTTTCGATACCTGGAACTGGACAATGAACGCGTGTGCACCGCGCACCACGTCCGAGGTACACCGCCAATGGGCACACATGTAGAGTCCAGCTGGAGATGCTCTGGTGGATATATGTTTACGCCAGCTGGACCCATCCGGCTGAAAGCTGGCTGCCAGCCGATTACGGAATAGGTCCACAGTGGAGCCACCTTCGAGTGGTTTCCAGCTGACGGACCAGCTGGCGCAAATTCAAACTCCCAGTCGCAATCGAGCGTTCATTTATAATCTTTTCTTAATTTTATTTTTTTCCACGCTCGATTGCGCGTTGTATCGCACACACAGCTGATAGGAAGGGTGAATGGTATTCATCGACTACGATACATCATACAAAAGTGTGTCGGGCACGAACACGAGCATCATAGTGGCCGCCCTCGTCTTGTCCAGGTATTGTAAGGGAATATCTACAGGAGGAAGATAGCCCAGATGGTCTTGGCTTGAGGAAGGAGATATGTAACCACTAGAAGGCGGCGATGCCCAAGTCCGAACCGGCGTTGCCACATTATTATTGAAGTTGGATGAGTACACATTGAGAGCCCATCTTGAATCGGTGACTTGGGAGTCAGAAGTTGTCGAGGTGCTTTGTGTCTCAAGTACGGCTCGGCGGTCTTGGCCATTGCTGCAAACAATCTCCGGTGGTCTCTGATGGCAAGGAGGCGCTTGCGACGACAAGGGCGACGAGGGCTGCGCTAAAGAGGTGATACTTTGGAGGGGTTTGTGAGTTCTTATGTTGATCGGTTCGTGGCGGTTGATGCAGTGTTTCAGGCGTGTTATCCGAGCGACAGAACGGGAAGGCGTTGAGGGGTTTCGGTAGCCGATACAGACAGCGCAGCATAGCGGGGCGGGTTGTGATAACTTGAGGTTTGCGGCCTCAAGGCTTGGAGGAGGACAGGGGAGAGAAGTGGTGTAGTGGTGGTGGGAGGAAGATGGAACCAGCGGTGATCATTCGCCCTCGATTTGTAAGTCTGGAGAGCAAGTGCGACGGCGCGGACAGTGCCTCAGGCAAAGCGACAGTCGGGAGTGGGTGCTATAAACGCATTTCGGGAAGCGCTGAACTTCTTGAAGCCCGAAGCGCGATATGCGGTGTAGTGGGAAGCTTGAGAACTATCCGATGTTCCGGCTTGGTCTCCGTCGAGAGCCGTCGAGTTTCAAGGGTGACTGAGACGCAGTGGGGCGGAGTCGATCCTGAGGCCGCGAGAGCAGGCCGCGAGAGCAGGCCGCGACTGGGATGGTGGTGGGCGAAGACAAGAGGTGAGTGATCAACAGATCATGGCCAACGTTTCCACGACCCCCCCCTCCCCCCAAATAAGGAGATTGTTTGGTTGGTGCAAACATCGGCCTGAAGTCCGACCGCACACGTCGCTCTTTGTGCCTCAGAATGGAGTGAGGAGACAATTTGAGAAGATATCTGGAGTACCTACAAGCTCTCTTGACGGTTGCCAGAATCCTCAGCAATTTTTTGGTCGAACTCCGGACATAGTCGGACTTGTTGACATCGTGGGATCGCTGGCCAAGATCAGCCGATCACTCACCTCTTGGGCGGAGAGGGGAATGAGGACGAACATGCACGTGACGGGTTATACAGAGCCAAACATCACGCACGGACCCGATTGATGATTGATCTCTTTCGTCTCCACCCAGGCGGGATCGGTGGGTGGACCTGCAGTCGCCTCTCGTTGAATGCTCATTCTCATCGGGACAGCAAGGCATTGAACAATTTGGTCTCCGGCCGCTGCTTCAACGTGAAGCTTGAGGCGAGACTCCCGAAGAATTCAAAGTTGCAGCGGCGCCGCGCGGCAGCAAATTTCAGCGAGGAACTTCAAAATGCATTACTATCAAGAGCCTTATTGATTATTGCATCTACAAATTGAGATTCAATGCTAAAGAGACAAGTTATACCACTGAAAACTCGGGCGGCGGTCCAGCTGGGACTATACTTCGCAAAAGCTGGGTTCCAGCTGAGATTTCCAGGTGGTGGTCGCGTGTGAGCACTTTTGCGGTGTACCTGCCTAGAGCGTGAGCCCATAAGGACCCCTAAAATCGGACGCGCACCTGCAGGCCTACTAGTAGCCGCACCAGGGGGGGGGGTTTCGTCTGCAATTTGGGTTTTGAGACACTAGAGTTCAAAAAAAAAAAGATTATGTGGGCTGTTCGAGCGAGTGGTAAAACTGGAGCATGCCAACTCCTGTATGCCAGAGCAAAAGAAAACCCGTTCGAACTCGCTTAGTTCGGACGCTGGGAGTCGAACCCAAACCTCTCGCATTAAGTCATTCTTCACCTGCTCACGAATCCACGGAGAGCGGGTGTGCACCGCGCACCACGTCCGAGGTATCTGCCTAGAAGCGTAAGCCCATAAGTACCTCCAAAATCGGCCGCGCACCTGCAGGTCTAGCCGCACCAGAACCAAAGGGAGAATTTCGTCTGTAATTTTAGTCGAGCTGGAGACAGTACGCGCAGATTGGAAGCTGGGATTAGAAGTAACCTCGAGCGACTGGTGAGGAAGAAAATTCCAGCTCCTCATGCGCGAGGGAAAAATTGAACATCTGTTCCACTAGTTCGGACGTTGGGAGTCGAACCCAAACCTCTCGCATCAACCTGTTTAGTGCGTTTTCATGAATCGCGGGTGTGCGCCGCGCACCACGTCCGAGGTGCTCGCTTTGAGGCGTGGGTCGATAGCTGTGGGCTTTTTTGAAGGTTGTTTGGGTCTGGTGTCGGTTCGGGAATTGAATATTGAGGTCGGGGCATGTTCAGCGGAGATAATCACTCACTTGCTGATGACGCTCGTCCGATGATTGCGCGAAGCCGAATACACATTTTAGTTATGTAGTCAAAAAATCAAAGTACAAATACAGCTATCTGCGCGAAAAACGCCTGGTATGCGCCTCGTAGGTATATATGTACTACTACTCCTACTCCTACTGTTTATGTACAGAATGTATGGTAATGGTATATGTGCGTGGATTATATGTACGTGGGTCGGTGGCGTGTTGTGTGTTGTATCTATATACGAGATGGATGAACGTGCGGGGTTGAGTTATAGATGTCGTGTCGTGGAGAGAAGGGAGGCGACACGGAGGAGAAGACGAAGAGGGAGGTGTGGTGTCGCGGTTGGTTGGTTGGTTGCATGCGGCGTTATGTGGCGCGGAGCGCAGAACGAGCGAGCGTGTGGTGCAAATCGATGTGTGAAGGCAGCTAGGCGCGGCGGCGGACGAGGCGGAAGTAACACAACGCCCGTCAATACGTCTCCTGCCTCCTCGGACTCCTCCTCCCCTTCCCAAACCCGTCCCTCCCAATCCCAATCCCGCTCCCTTCCCGACTCAAACTCGCACTCCGACTCCCCTCCCGGCTCTTCCCACCCCCACCGAACCCAAACACCCTTTTGAGCAGCGGCACCTCGCGCGTCGGGCTCGCCACGATGGGCTGCGGCTGCTGCACCACGAAGGACGTCCCCGAGCGCATGTAGATGTTTTGCTGCTGTTGTTGCGCCAGCTGCGGCGTGCTGCCGTACCCGCGCGCCACCGGCTGCGCATATCCCGGCCCATTTGCATACCCCGGCCCCGGCGGAGCGGTGTGGTACACATACCCCTTCTGCCCCTGCCCCGGCACAGGCACGTACGGGTACGAGTTCGCGCGCACGGGCTGCATGGGCGGGAGGTGCGTCACGGAGTAGCTGCGCGAGCGCGTCGGCTTCGCGGGTAGGGGCGGCGCCTGCGAGGACGAGCGGGAGCGGTTGTGTTTTTGTGGTGGGGGAACGGGGACGGGGGGCGCGGGGAAGTATTGTTGCGGGGCGTAGTGCGGCTGACCCGGTGGAGGTGCGGGGTAATACGGCTGCGGGGCGGGCTGCTGAACGCCGTAGACGTCGCCTCTTGGCGGTGCGGTACGGGAGCGCGGGCCGCTGCTGCGTTCGCGTTCGAGCGGGGACGGGAGCGGGGGCGGTGGGGATCGTCGGCGCCTGCTCGCGTCCCGGTCCTTGCGCGATTTTTTGTCGTCGGGGTCACTTGACCGCGACCGGCGGTGTCTGGACTCCTCGCGCGGTAACGGTGCGTGGCCCTTGCCGTTCATCGGCGTTGGCGGAGCAAAGGGGTCGGCCTGGGGCACGCGGCCAGTGTTCTGTGTCCATTTGGAGATGCGCGCCTGGGTTTCGAAGTGCCGCTTGTACGCCTCTTCGCTGAAATCATACTCCGTCATGTTTTTTCTAGTCCCGCCTCGTTTCGCCCCGGGAATCCCTTCGAAGCCGCTGAGTTGGATGGAATCTAGTTATCGCAGAGATGGGCAGGAAAGGCGAGAGAAGTGGCGCAGGATGGGGGCAGGAGGAGAAGAGGACATGCGCGGTGGGGCACACGAAATTTTAAAGGCCGCCACGTGGTTTCGGCCGATGTGATCGATCCGCGGCAGCAAACTGCCAGCAATTGCCATTTTGGGCCTTGTCTTCCTCCCATCTCGCTGGCCGGCCATTTCAGTCTCCCTGCCTCCATTCCGCATCGCGTCTATTGCAGGGTCTCTGGGGAACGCCACCATTGCATCGTACGATGTACTTTGGTACAGAGCCGCTATCTCCGTGACAATCACCGCGCTTGCTTCCCTTGTGCTGGGTTCGAGCAGTTGCTTGTCCGCCCCTTGACTGGGATGACGCGGCCCTGCTTTTGAATGAATGAATTCTTCCTAGCTCCCCGGTGACCTCTACTGACTCATCCTACTACCTCAACTGCGGGCCACAGTAAACTGGCCGCCGAAACTCGCGCACCCCACGCTGCACGGCAAATCCGCGATCTCCGCGAGTCATTCATATCGGATCCTACTAGCACTCCCCCCGTCTATATGTATGCGTATCGGCAACTCAAACGGCGCGCGCCACACTCCCGTTTACGACTTTTGAATAACTGTTTTCCAGGGCCCACGCTCGCACCACGTTTATTCCCTTCTGTCCTCGCAGGTCTCTGCTGTTCTCTGCATTCCATCAAGCCTTCCCACTGTGTCTTAGGCGCCTAGGTACCCATCCATCTATCTATCTGGCTGGCTCTATCTGCGTCGTCTGTCTAATCAGATTCTAACCCCGCCTTACATGCATCACAAGCTCACTATCACGACACCGATTGATTACAATGGATGGTATCTATTTTGGGCCTTCATTAACGGCTCCCAAGTTTGGATTGGATAGGGTTCTATTCTGCTTCAATGGACCCTTTTATCCCAAGCACCGCATCGATGTCAGCTGCAACAAATGCGATAAATCCGTCCGAGGCATGTCATGTATGTATATCTATGTACGTCTGTGCTACCAACGACTAGATTCATTCATTCATTATTAGGCTTTCCTTGGACCCGAGGTAGATAATCTAATCGCCGCCTGCGAGTCGAACATATACTTATCCGCTCCGAGTCGAACATATATCCAATATTTAAATCCGACAACAACACATTCGCCCGGGCATCAGCAAGTACTGTATCTTATTCGCATCGTCGAACCCCAAACCATTTCCTGGGACTTGATGGATAACCGCCGTCTGAAGCATACACATTCAATACCTAAATCCGACACGATATTCGGCCGGGCATAATGCTATGTACCATCATCATATTTATGTGTGACCCGTCCGTCCTATCGTCTCAGTCCACAACCGCACATCAACGACGACCGGTCACCGAGTGCACTAGATTCGTTCCCGGGGTGCGTATTTTTTTCGCCGTATCTGTGTCATCGCTCATACTTATATATATAACCAGCGGCCGTCCACCACTGTCTCAGTGCGGAATAACACCCACCCGCCCGCGCGATGTGCCGACCTCAAGCATCGCGGCCAACACATCTCTCTTAATTCAACACATCTCTTAATGCAATTCATCGTGTATTGCGTGTATCGTACCGCGGAACAGGTGTACCAACTCGGACGTGGTGTATGGCGCACCCCCGCTCTCCCTACTGTGGCAACTGTGAAAGGTACAGTGGGAGCCCCGGGTTCGATTCCCGGCGTCTGGATGAAATTGTCCAAGCGCTCATTATTTTTTACTTTTCGTTTACTCAAGCTTACAATTGTTCGTCCGGATGACCAACAACCGTCTACCTCAGTGCCGCCCGTACGCGCGCCGTCCATCCAGATCTAGCTTAATCCAATTATTACACCTAATGTCGGCCATTCTGCATCGTGCAACTCGCTTCGCCATAGGAATACAAACTCGGACGTGGTGCATGGCGCACATCCACTCTCCCTGGGCTTTACGGATGTAAGCAGTGGGAGCCCCGGGTTCGATTCCCGGCGTCTGAATGTTGAAACCCTCCTCTTCTTTTTTCGTTTACTCAAGCTGACCCGTCACTGGAACCCTTGGCTCGACCAGCGCCCTCCCTGCGGACTAACAACCACCCGACGCGCCCGGTGCCGGGCTCTGCGTCAACATGTAATTACATTCAGTTCCGCATACTTACTTTCGCGAGGCCGGGTTCCGTGTATCCCACCTCGCAATAGGAATACCAACTCGGACATGGTGCACGGTGCACCCCCACTCTCCCTAGTCCCAGCAACAGACAAGTTCAGTGGGAGCTCCGGGTTCAATTCCCGGCGTCTGAATGAAACGGTGACGATCAGGACTTTTTTCTTTTCTTTGTTTTCTGTGGTCAACATATTATCTGACCCTTCCTTGTACCGATGGTAAACAGCCGTTCGTTCAGTGGTCTCTGTAAGGAATAATGAACACCCACCCGCCAGCCACGACCTGGAAGTCAAAAATCCCAATCACGGCTGCCTGCATCGCATAGCGTCACGATGTATCGCACCTCGCACCAGTAATACAACTCGGACGTGGTGCACGGCGCACCTCATTCACCCTACAAGGGGTAGAACAAGTTTAATGGGAGCTCCGGGCTCGATTCCCGGCGTCTGAATAAGATGGCGACGGCTTCTAGTATCTGTTTTTTTTCTTTCTGTGGTCAATCTTACGCTTCCTTAAGCTTGTACCGATGATCAACAGCTGTCCACTCCAGTACTAGGCTACTAGCACGGAATAGTACATAGCCCGTACTCGTGCCGTCAAGATACGCAGATCTCACTTAATCACTTAATTCATTTCAAGTTGCGCCCACCGTTGCCCGGCCGGTGGATTGTGTATGGTGTATCGCACCTCACCATACTCGGACGTGGTGCACGGCGCACACCCACTCTCCCTAGTAAGCGCATGATGCAAAGAAGTTCAGTGGGAGCCCCGGGTTCGATTCCCGGCGTCTGAATGCAATGGTAACTTGGTTGTTTTTCTGGTCAATCTTACCCTGCCTTGAAACAGCCGTTCTCCCAATGCAGAATGGTACATACCGCCCGTACGCGCGCCGTCAACACAGATGTAACTGATCCAAATATTGCCCGGCCGCGGCCACCGCCATCCTCTGTACCTTACATCGCACCTCACTACAGGAATACAAACTCAAACGTGGTGCATGGCGCACACCCACTCTCCCTAGTTAGGGTCTAAGAAGTTCAGTGGGAGCTCCGGGTTCGATTCCCGGCGTCTGAATGGGGCGGTTACGATCAGGACTTTTTTCTTTTCTTTGTTTTCTGTGGTCAACATATTATCTGACCCTTCCTTGTAACGATGGTAAACAGCCGTTCCCCCAGTACTAGGGCGGAATGGGACATAACCGCCCGTACTCGTACCTTATAAAGGCTAAAAGCGAATCGCAATTACGGCCTTCTTCAATTCGAGGTGCAGGGTGGAGGGCGCAGAAGGACACAGTTAGAAGGACTCGAGCAGTTTTTAGCGGAGGGGAGAACCAAGAGTAAGGCCCGGTATGGGCCTCAAGAATCTACACAGAGCAAGAGAAGGTCGACGTTAAAGGCAAGCGGCGGAAGTCCGGACCGCAGATGATGGTATCAATTTTCGTTTACTCTCACAGGGACTCCGAGGCTCGGCACAACCGTGTGTTCGACTTGTTTCCTGAGACACAAAAAATCGCTGTAAACGAATTGGACATGAATCTGAGGCACAACTATATGAATCGCAGTTTGTGTGGATGCTGTATCCCGTGGCATGAACACCTTGAACGCTCAGAGTGACTGGCCGGCTTGATCTCCGACCACTGATGGCTCGGCCCGGGCGACATTGTGGAGGCAAACGGGACGCAGGTGAAGGGCCGCTGAGTGCAGAGGAAATCATACTGAGTAACTACTTCCCATTAAAAACCCGGCATCCAACGGCAACAAGTTTTGCCCATGTGGAGGGCTCAAAATTGGATCAAAACCTTTCGATTGGACGTATACAATTGACTCGAGAAATACAACCAGCGCATCCCAGGTTTCAGCTCCTTCGTGAAACCGGAAGAAGTTCGACGGGGGTTCCGCATTTTTTAAAAAAAAAGAATTATCTGTGGGACGGGGGTTTCTCGACAAACCGGGTCTCCCATTGGAGTAATCCTCGGCGTATAACCCCAGAAATAAGTAAAATGCCAATTTTGAGGCCGACTCCAACCCCGAGATGCCCGAGTCCAAGTCGACGAGATGAATTAATCTGTGGCCAAGCGTCGGCCTATGCCCCCCAATTTTGTTTCTGAATCAATACACGATACGGAGTTCGTGCATTCGTGCGACGCGAAGGTTTCCGGTACACGGCCCAATTATCGTTCCGCATGGTTGCGGTTTAACCCGTGTCTTTCATCTGGGCCAGCGGATGCCATTCGACAAGATAGAGACACTTTACAGTCAGTCTAAGTTCTAGCTTCTATCTATCATTCGTTCAGGGCATAGGAGTCAGCAAACGGTGCTTTAAGTTTCACAATCCGCGTTTTCTTGACAATATAATTCTCTTTGCCGAAGTATCTCTCGGTAGCAAAACTCCATCTATTATAATGTCATTTATGCCGCAAAGTTGAACGAAAAGAACATACTGGTCATTTCCACGGACCCAATCACCAAAGGCGTCGATGACTCGTACAGCATCTGTGGAATAAATTGGATCATCCCGAGAGGCGAGAATGCGTCTGGATTCCTGGAGCTGCGATGTCAACGCCTCACAATATCCACTCAGGAAATCGATGGCCGTCTGGAGATCTACACCCTTGGACTTCATGATGACTGTGACAACATTGGCGCCGCCGTGCCCCTTGGACTGTTCCATGTTGTAGGAAAGGAGATCCTGGATGGAAAGTTAGGATATATTCCGAGGAGAAAGCACATGAATCGCACATTGGTCCAAAAGATAAGGTCCATGGCGGCGTTGTAACCGCTGACGAAGACCGGGTCTTCGTGAACATGTTGCGGAAGATCAAGACCCACGCAATATTCGACCAGGTCGAAACAAGTACGGACAGCACTGGTTTCGCGACGGAACATTACATAGCTCGGGATGTCCAGCACCTGGTTCTGCTCGCGAAAAACTGCCTCTGTACCGACGATCTTCACGTAGCGACAAAAATTATCAATGAAGCGACGAGCTACGTTGGGCCCAGCTTTGTCGATGTGATTCTGTTTGAATCTACATATAAACTGTTATTTTCCGTGCAGCAAGAAAAGTGCGAGAACGAACGATTTCATCATGCGGCAGATCCAACTCTCGTCAGCGAAGTCTGAATTGCGGAGAGCGCGATCAACGATAATTGCAGCGTCGGTCGCTTCCGCTCCAGAGACAGTGTCCGTGAACTCATCGTAGAGCCAGAGAATGTTGGCCTAAGCCAAGCGGTGTCAGGAAGACGATCAAGACGCGAGATGAAATACACATACCAGATCCATGGTGGCCCTAAGGCCGGCCTCGCCAGCGTAGGGGAAACAGTACGAAGTTGACAGCTCAAAGTTACAGTTGTCCATAAGGGCGCGCATCTTTGGGCCGCAGACGACGCCGTTATATTGGTTGATCCATTCCCGAGACTCGACGCGTATCTTGGAGAAGTTGGGATTTAGGCCGTTGTCTGGGAATATGGCAAACGTATTGTCGAGGTTTGGGAGGCGAAAGGTAATCTCATCAGGAGTGGACGCCATTGTAAATTTCGGGGGAGGTTGGTGTTTTTCTAAACAAGTCTCTCTCTTAAAAGGAGAGGGATGGTGAGAAGAAAGAGCGATACATGTTTGAGTGTCTTGATACAAAACACGCGCGAGCGTCACATCAAAACAGAGGGCGTTTGAGAATATCTGTACCCGTTATCGCGATTGAGATCCAGAAAAGCAAAAATAAACTAAGGCGTCCACTCTGCGCTGGTGGCCGTTCAAACCTTCAAGTCGGAGTGTAGAAAGTGAGATTTTTGAGCAGCTTGTTCTCACAAATTCTCGACCCGTCGGGTTTCCGGTTACGTCATTGTTCTCGTCCTCGTCCGCCGCGACATTTGTGCTGGTCAAGGTGCAACACAGTGCCAAGATGTGGATCCTCTTCTACTATCGCTAGAAATCACCGGCAGTGCGTGAATTTCAGTGATTTCCATGCGCCATCTGCCTCCGCGTCCCCGCATGGTCCACGGCACGTCTCTTGCTATAACCACTTCGAACTGGTGAGTTTGTGCCTTCATTATTGTATCTCCAGCAGGAATGGATTTTGATTCTTCGGACGACGCGTCGATGCCCATTGACATGTTTTTTGGGCTATACTGACTCACCAGCCGCCGCCCAACTTGGACGCGTCAGATTCCGGGTCTGACGCGTTTGTATCCGAAACTGTCCCTCTTCCGCACTTTTGGCCGTGGCCCGTCGGCGACACTCGATACCGGCCTCTCTAGTATATCTTACGTGAAATCTGAAGACAGTCGTTCGCTGAAGCGCCATGGAAACGCCGAGCCATCCCCAACATGTCGATCCATCAATTTTGCGCTGAAATTCGCGAAAACGCGTTCCTTCGCAGCCCAAAAATCCCAGGCAATGAAAACACCCGGCGGCATCACGCAACTCAGCGGCGTCGAGCTCACCCGGCCGTCCTCCGAGTCAAGCATATCCCGTCCGTCTTTGCAATTAAAGGTCTTGGTGGTTCGTTGCGGCTTCCCGCCTAACGTAAGCAAATATTCACGCAATCACAACTGTACCTATCTATTAATCTCCGCGCCGACGCGGGTGGGTCAGAATTTTCAGGCTGATTCCCCTCTGTCAGAGAAATCGGTTCTCCGCCTTCTCCGAAGTGTCGTCGGGAGTGTATGTTCAATTTTCTCGCACGGCCAGTGCATATTTTCGGTCATTCTGTCGATCCCGCAATTCTCCGACTTCCTTGATAATCCTGCGCGGCTAATTGCCACCCTGGAATCCGTTAATCTTACGTCCCAGCTCGGTACGCAGTCGTCCAACCGGGGTAAGGAATTCACGAGTGGTGTATCGTTTAAAATTTACGACTGATCACATCTGTTCTTGTAACAGTATCCTCCCAAACGTTTATTTCGGCCTCGACATCGACATCAGCTTGAAGATCTTGCGCACCGTTTGTGTTCCCCCTCTCCAACTCCCCTCTCAGTCTCTGTGATAATGTTTCCAGTAACTCGACCATCCGGTGCAGGGGATATTCTCCATCAGCGCGACCCGCCAGTGTGCCTGCGGTGTCGGGCCGAATCGCGTTTCTGGTGTGCGCCGCAACCTTATCCAGAGCATCACAAAGCACTGAGAAGTATATGGGCCACAGGTTGCTGCTGAGCGACGAGAATATGACGTCAAGACACACAGATCCCACTGGATCACTTAATTCATTTGTGCCCACCGTTGCCCGGCCGGTGGATTGTACATGGTGTATCCCAACTCGGCACAGGCATACAAACTCGGATGTGGTGCATGGCGCACACCCAGTCTCCCTACGAGGAGTACAAGCACTTCAGTGGGAGCCCCGGGTTCAATTCCCGGCGTCTGAATACGACACCTACCACGATCTTTTTTTCTTCTTCTGCGGTCAATCTTACCCTTTCTTGTACCGATGATCAACATCCGTTTAAATTCGTTCAGTTGTCTCAGTGCGCGATAATGAACACCCACCCGCCAGACGCAACTTGAAAATCAAAAATTCCAATCACGGCGGCCTGCATCGCATGGCGGCACCGTGTATCGCACCTGCAAACAGGCATCCCAACTCAGACGTGGTGCACGGCGCACACCCACTCTCCCTGGCCCTCCGGTCTAGCAGTGGGAGCCCCGGGTTCGATTCCCGGCGTCTGAATACGGTGAGGACCAGCAGCATTTTTTGTTTCTCGTTTTTTATTTATTTCTGCGGTCGAGTACCCTTCCTTTTACCGGCGGTCCACAGCTGTTCCCTCAGGGCGCAATGATACATAGCCGGCCGTACGTGCGCCGTCAACTACTCAATCTTTGAGCCTACCGTTGGCCAGTCTGCACCGTAGATCGCCCCTCGGACTAGCTATACAAACTCGGACGTGGTGCATGGTGCACACCCACTCTCCCTAGTCCCAATTCCCGGCGTCTGAATATCATGGCTACTGTACCTGCTTTTTTCTTCTTCTTCTGTGATCAATCTTACCCTACCTTGTACCGATGGTCGACAGCTGGCCACCCCAGTACTAGTGCGGAATGGTACATACCCGCCCGTACGCGTGCCGTCAACATACTTACTCAATTTAGGAAGGATTGCAATTGAGGCTACCATTGGCCATCCCGCACAGCCGTGTGACAGTATATTGGGCCTCGGACTAGGTATACCAACTCAGACCATGGCGCACCCCCGCTCTCCCTAATTACAAAAGTACAAAAAGTTCAGTGGGAGCTCCAGGTTCGACTCCCGGCGTCTGAAGAAGACGGCTATTTTGTTTTCTGTGGTCAATCTTACCCTTCCTTGTACGAATGGTCAACAGCTGCCACTACCCGTACGCGCGCCGTCAACCGACATCTATGAGGATGTTGAGGACGATCATACCGACGAGGAGGATCAGAGGGATTTTACTTGGATGTAAAATGCTGCCCGAGATTGGGAGGGGTGGACGGAGGAAGGCGTGGTTTCGAGGAGTCTGAATCCACGCGAACTGTACTACTACCTGTGGAAAATTGCTACTTCTCCGTGTATAACATTTCGTTTTAGCCCAGAACCGTGGCTGGGGTTATGGATAATATGTCGAGGAAGCACTTGAATTTTAACTTTCGAGCGGGGAAATGAGGGGAAAATGCTTAAAGCACGGGAATCTGCGGAGGTATGCCTGGCGGCAAACTTGTTTGAGATCAATCGTTTGAACCGTAGAAATAATCGATCAGCCTTTTGAACCGTGGGAAATGCTGTACTCATTTCTTCGTGTGTTCGTCAAGTTGTCAAAATCGTGCATGCGTGTAAAAACTGAGCTGGCGCATAATGAGGAAGAGGTGCAGTCAGTGGTAATATCCACAAGTGAGCGACTGCCTTGCTCGCCTGCGTTCATTCTCTTCTGAGGCGTCTCAACTCAATATTACCTACACAGCTCAGTAAACCGTCAAAAACGAACGGCGAGTTCCTTAAGTCCCAGCGCCCATATTTGGTAAGCGACCCAGTTACAGACGAAATTGGCGATGTCCGACAAACCCTGTCTACTATAATCAGCCCTGCTATACTCCAGTCTGGGGTGCAGCGAGTCCTTACGAACATGGGCTCTGCAGCGAGTGGTGCTTGCGTTGTTTGGGGCTGGCGGAGAGCCTGTAAATACACGAGTGAAAATACGTGATAAGATGCACCAGAAATTATTGAACGAAGGAACACGAACCGGTTTGAGCTCGGAATTTATATGGGAGGCAGGAAATAGTTAGTCACGATGGTCGGTCAGCCGGGAATGTAGTTGCGAAGGTAGACGCCCGAGGTCCGCGGGCAACAGCAGGGACACGAGGGGAATCCCAAGCGTGGAGAAAAGATGGGCGTCGGGAAGTGCGCCACTCGACCTGAGCCTCCGACTCGGCAGAACATCAATGCAGCGTTATAATCAACCCCAGTGAGTCCGCGTAACAGGAGATACGCAGAGGAGCGCAATGTGGATGGAGGGATTGCAAAGAAGAAGACGGCCAGTAATGTTTAGGGTTCGCGGCCTAGATCTAGACACAAGTAGGAGGAGCATCCATCGCGTGAACCCGAACGCGGCAGGGACTCCAGCATATCCACAACCCCAACAAATCACCCACAGGCACACGTGCGCTCCTGGAACTAGTCGATGTAGCGCTGAAGTGGGCGGCTAAGTCTGATTCCCGAGGCAAAGTCCTCGAGGGCGGAGCGTCAAGCGCTGGTGCAGTGCGGTGATGGTTTGACGTGCGCGGCAACGACCAGGAGGAGCCTAATGTCTAGAAGCAGGGACCACCATCCATACCATGACCGATTTTGTAAAAGTCAGACGCGTTAGAGCAATGCCACCGTCAGCTGCTGGAGTGGGATGAGGCCCAGCGCGTAGGAAGCCTTGATGAATCATTCAAGAATCAAGTTGAGCTTGTGTTTCCGAGTCCAGACAAGATTGGTCACGTCATTCGTGGCCAGCTTCGTTGGTCGTCATGCTGCGTTTGTCGGGCGACGGGGGATCCAATAGAGGGACTGAGTTCAGGGATCAAGGGTAGGTAGGTAGGTAGCAAGGGAATGGCGGGGGAGACGCGAAGAGAAGACGATGAAATTACGTGACGCGGAAGGGGCACGGTGAAAGTGCCGCCCCTGACGCCAAGTGACGCCCTTTGATGGTGGGGGCGGCAACAACACTGCCGCCCCTCCAATCGTTGCCGCCCTACAAAGGGCGTCAGTCTTGTCACGTCACATCGCTGTTGCCGCCCTCTAGGTATATATTGCCGCCCCGATTTTCAACCAGAGCTAGCAGCCTTCCCAGTTATATTAGGTGATGGGAGGATTTAATATTCAATCTTTACAACGAAGACATAGGCATAATTTACTGAAGGTATGTACGTATTCAATATGTACTACAACTATTTTGCCTGCTCGCGAACCCGTGTACTTCTACGAACTCCCGGTGGAGTAGGCTGGGGCATATACTTAGTACCCTTGCGGCGACGAGGCCTCTCGTCCTCCGAGTCCTCATCGAAAATGACTCCCACGGCGGCGGCTTTCTTTTTGCGTTTGCGCGGTGGTTCCAAGTCGTCAGAGTCAATGTCGAGGATGTCTTTCCGAAGGTCGATGCTATGCTTCCGCGCTACCAGCCAGGGGCCACTGGGTGGCAAATCGGTTGGCAACGAGATGATCTGTCCTTCATGTTCAACGTGAACGGCAGCAGTAGGCATTCCGGTAATGTTGGCGGCGCTGACACGGTGGTAGAGAACGACCACATCCGAGGACGTTTCGAAGGTGGTGTGTTTTTCTCTAAATTTCTCTGCCCAGGTCACGTACCCCGCCTTCCTTGCACCAGCAGTTGTCGCAGGGTCCATCATGTCCCACATCACATCGAGCGCACCGAAGGCCGGAGGCGGGTTATACACGATGAAACCGGACTGGATGTCGGAGAAGGTGATACCATTCAAGTTCCAAGGGTCACCGAGAGAGTGTTGAATTGCAAGGATCTGGAGTAGGATTGAACCAGGTCCGAAGATTTTCTGGTTCGCATTGACGTCGAGACGCAACAGGGGGTGCTGTTTCAACATGGCCAGGGGTTCGTACAACATTGCCTCCAGTGCGGGAGTCGGGTCGAACGAATGCTTCCTCATCCAATCGATGGAGCTTTGAGGTTTCCAGGGCTTCCCTTTGAAATAATCCCGAAAACTGCGAATGACGGGGTGCGAGATATCCATCGCGACCAAAATTTGCGCAATGGTTGGGATTGCAAGATGGAAGAGGTAGAAAAGGTCGAGATTAAATGGCTCGTCCTCTTCGGTAATGGGCTTGAAACAACGCGGAAGTGACACGGATCCGACCTGAAAACAAACATTTGAATTTCGAACCGGCACCGCAGAAGCAGAGTAGATGAAAAAAATATACCTGGTTTTCACGTAACGGCCAGACTAATTGTGTGGACTTCAAATGAGCAGCTGAACGATAGAAAATATCGTCTTCGGGTGCTTCTTTGGGCCAACATATTGCAGCGTTCCAGATGAACTTGTATTCTCTGGAGTCTCGGGCGACATTGAAGTCAACCAGCCGCGCCGGATACCAAATTGTGACTTTAATCCAGTTATCTATCTCGGGGAGCATACAAGTTTCGCCCGACGTAAGCCTGTTAAAGAGGTGATTAGTAAAATCGAGGGATAAATACATGCGCGCGCACTCCGAGGTTGGCACGACCGGTGTTGTTGTGCAAGTGACACAGGTGAAAACAAATTTGGGATCCTGCCAGTTTATCTCGGACTCGATGTCGGAATCCATGTCCGAGTCGTGATATGCGAGTGGTTTAACACAGTCGATGTGCGACCAAAAGCCACATCTTTGACATTCAACCGCTCCTGGCTGGTTTTTTACGGGACCCTCTTCTCCGCATGGATGACACCGCAGAATTGTGCTGCCGGTCGTCGCGGGTGGTGGCGGTCCAGGATGGAGCTCAATTGTTGCGATGGGAGGAAGACTGTTGCTGCGATCCGGTGACTTCGACGAAGTGTCGCTGGAAATCAACGACGGTGGTTTCGTGCGTTTGATTATTGGCGGAGGCGCCTGGGGAAGACCCTTCTTGGGCGATTTTTGGGGAGGTGCTAACCTGAACTCGGTTGATAACGAGGTGCCGTTGGGGTACCATGATACTCTCTCTTCCTCGGATAGTTGCTCGAGATGGAGACGTTGAAACCGGCAGGTGGCCGGGATACCCGTCAGACTGGAAGGACGTGGTGTGAGTTGAAGCCCGAGTTTTTTCGCAAGCATTATTTGCTGCTTCCGGAAGTATTGCTGCGCGGGTTCGCCGCCATCTAGGTGATAGATAATCGCATCTAGTTGATATGTGGCCGGGATATCGCGCAGGAGGTGAGTCGAGCCCGTGAGGAGAGTTTTGAGAGCACTGCTGGACTGAAGAATGGCGTGACCTTCGTGCTCTCTTCCGTCATAGTCGAATATTCGGTTTTTAGTCCCGTCAGATGAGAGGTAGCGTGTGATGAAGTGACGCTCCTTCGTGCTAACATAAGCATGGGCAGCAATGCTGTACTTGACACCGTGCGCGGTTGCCACGGAGTTGCTTGGATATGGATACAACGCGCTGGGAATGTCCCAATGGCCATCAGAGGGAGGCTCACCCATCTCGATGATGAGTATGTTGGGAATGTTGAGCACGACTTCGTGGCAGA